CCCAGGAGTTGGAGGTTGCTGTGAGCTGTAATGCCACGGCACTCTACCCAGGGGGACAGCTTGAGGCTCTGTCTCAAAAAAAAAAAAAAAACAAACCATGAGCTACCACCTTAACCCTGTCAGAATCACCATTATTAAATTAAAAATAAAAAACACAGATGTTGGTAGAATTGGGGTGAAAAGGAAATAATTATATACTGTTGGTGGGAATGTAAACTTGTACAACCACTACAGAAAGCAATATGGAGATTCCTTAAAGATTTAAAAGTAGACCTACCATTCAATACAGCAATCCCACTACTAGGTAATTAACCAAAGGAAAAGAAGTCATTTCATCAAAAAGACAGCTATACCAGAATGTTTATCACAGCACAATTCATAATTGCAAAGATAAGGAATCAACCTAAGTGCCCATTAACTAACGAATGAATAACAAAAATGTGGCGTGTGTGTGTGTGTGTGTGTGTGTGTGTGTACCATGGCATACTACTCAGCCATAAAAAGGAATGATATAGCTGGGCTCAGTGGCTCATGCCTATAATCCCAGCACTTGAGGGGCTGAAGCGGGTGGACTGCCTGAGCTCACAGGTTTGAGACCAGCCTCAGCAAGAGCAAGACCTTGTCTCTAAAAAATAGCCAGGCATTGTGGTGGGTGCCTGTAGTCCCAGCTACTTGGCAGGCTGAGGCAAGAGGATGACTTGAGCCCAAGAGTTTGAGGTTGCTATGAGGTAAGATGCCATAGTACTCTACTGAACATAACCAAGTAAGACTTTGTCTCAAAAAAAAGGGCGGGGGGGGGCACCTGTGGCTCAAAGGAGTAGGGTGCCGGCCCCATATGCTGGAGGTGGCAGATTCAAACCCAGCCCGGGCTAAAAACTGAAAAAAAAAAAAAAAAAAGGAATGAAATAATGTTTTCTGCAGCAACTTGGATAAACCTGAAGACCACTATCCAAATTATCGCAAGTAAAATATCTCAGGAATGGAAAAACAGTTATCACACACTGTCACTTATAGTAGGAGCTAAACAAAGGATAAAGAGGTGTAATAAACGTTGAAAAGCAAGGAGGCAAAGCGGGAGAGAGTCAGGGATGAAAATCTACCTACCGAGTATAACATATACTATTTCACCGATGGGCACACCTGAAAGCCCTGATGTACAATGTATCCACATAACAAAAATATAAAGTTCCGGAAACAAAAAGTCAGAGATCAGGACAACAAAGGCCAACAGGGACATATAAGGAAGTTCCAAAGTGACTAAAAGAAAACTGCTTCTCCCCACCCCAGGACAAGTTTTCACAGAAATAACAGAGGCCAATACAATCTTCCTTTCAAGGTTAGAGTGAAAATTAAGTAGAGTGTGTATGTCATGTACCCATGTCAGGGGAGATAAGACATGCAAATAATCAGATTTCATGGTGATAAATGCAATCATGACATTTGTGGGAACGCACGATGCTGGCTTTTGGTTTGAGAAAGGAAGTTTTTGTCATCTGAGTGTTCATAATCTAAGCCCCAGTAGTTTCAAGTTTATATAAGGAAACAAATCATGACAAAATGTTTACTGATCAACCGACTCATAAAATTATTTACTCCCACCCAAGTATCCCTCCCTGTTTATCATCTATCTCTGCCTATCTTTAGGATTATGTTACAAATGTTAAGGATGGCTTCCCAGTATTATCATGTAATTTCATCTCATAAATCATGCTAAAAACCCCACAATTTCATTCTATATTCATTTTAAGATTAGTAGAGGCTCAGCACCTATAGCTCAGTGACTAGGGC